ATCACAATTTAAAATATTTAAAAATACTTAGTTCTTGCCATCAAGGATCTCAAAGTCCAGAGAGAGGACAGATACAAAGCTCACTGTTAATGTAGGGGCTCACCCATGGTAAGAGAGGGCAAGCAGAGAGCCCAGAGCCCACGCGGGTCAGGAGAACCTGCGCTCGCTCACCTGCTCACCTCATCCTTCCGTCCCCTGTGAGCAAAGCTGCGCTGGACATAAGAATCTCCTGGCACAGCCAGTTCCCTCTTGTTGTCCAGAAATGACAGTCTCACTTCTCTAGTCCTGCAATTCCACGGAACAGGTCCTCAGACTAATAACTTGTCTCAAGTTGTAAAGTTTGTTAGTATTTATTCGCTAAAGTGTCAATTTTTATTGGTGGAAAGAGCAATATTATAGTAACATTTTTAAAATTCAACCATAATCTCAACATCTGACCACACCCAACCACAGCAGTCAAATCCGCAGACCAAAAATCTTGGTGCAATCCATGACTCCCCTATGTCTCCCACACCCTACTTCCAATTCACCAGGAAATCCTGTCAATTCTACCTTCAAAATATGTCCAGAATCTCCCTATCCCACACCTCCGCCGCTACCTCCCCAATCTGAGTCATCCTCCTCTCCCCCTACACTACTGCTGTAGTCTTATAACTGGGCTGCCTGCTTCCACCCTTGCCCCCAACAATCTGTTCTCCACACAGTGGCTAAGTTGTCCTTTCAAAATGTAAGGTCATGCCATGCCTCTGCAAAATCCTCCAATGGCTTCACATAATGACCCATTACCCCATGACCTCACCCTGGTACTGTCCCCCTTGAATCACTGTGCCAAGTTACAACCACCTCTTTGCTGTCGTATGTTACATGCCAAGCCTACTCCTGCCTCAGGACCTTTGCACTGGCTATACCCTCTGCCCAAAACACTCTTCCCCCATAGAGTCACATGAATAACGTCCCCACTTCCCTCAAGCCCTTGTTCAAACATCATCTTCTACTTAAAGGTGCAACACTCACCCACACCTTTTACCCTGATTATCTTTTATTTTTCCATAGCACATATTACAGAATGTCCTCACATTCTCACATATCCTAACATATTGTACAATTTACTCCTTTGTTACAATTATTGTTTACTCTCTGTCTCCATCCCACTGAATGATAATGCACTAGGACAGGTATTTTTTTGTCTATTTTGCTCACCTGGCATAGTGTCTGGCACACAGTTAAATAAATAGTTGTTGAATGAATAATGAAAACAAAGTACACATTCACAAAGCAGCACCCCCAGTCCCAGGCTCCCGCTTCTCTGGGCTCCAAACCTGAGAGGAGGACGTGAGGGACTTTTCTCTAAAATGATCAGAAAGCCTCCGCAGGCTAGCATTTCCTCTGTGATGAAACATGTCACTACAGGACATCGGAAGCTTTTCATCAGGGCAACCTAGACATGGATACTGGACTGAATGAGAGCAGTGAATAGCTCCATCTAGGTTGACATTTCGTTGGAACAAGGTCATATGCCAAGTGCTGGCTGAATCACATGACCCTTCAGTCACCACCAACAAGTTCCCAAAAAAAACCAGCAATATAAATATTACTATATTTGTAACAATCCCAGGCATTTATACTAATAAAAGGGTAATATGCATATTAACTGTCATTCCACAACAAAGATGGCAGCACCCATAGCCACAAAGATGGCGGCGCTGGCCGGATCCACAGAGCCAGCTGGAGTGGGCAGGACACTTGGCTTCCTTTGGGTGGGATGCTTGGCTTCCTTCGTTGCCCTAGCGACAAAGGAAGCCAAGCCTCCCGCAAGCCCTGGCCGGCCACTGAGAGACGGCCTCTGGGCGGCAGCCACTGAGCCTGCGGGAGGTGGCTCCAGCCCAGAGCCAAGGTGGGAGGCGGCAGCCAGAGCGAAGGCCAGGGTCCCAGGTGCTGGAGGGAAGCCAGTGCTGGCAGCCAGGGAAAGTAAGGCCTAGTCTTGCACAAATCCTCGTGCATCGGGCCTCTAGTTTAGTAATAAAAAGTTGTTCTTTTTTTGTTTTTTACAGGAACATCAATTGGCCTTTGCCTGTTAACAGGCATTCTGTGTAAGTGAGAGATTGAGAAGGAGACATCCTAGATGGGAAGGTCACGTGACACTGTGGGTGTAATAGACACAAATCAGTTCAGCTCCTTGGCCAACATCCCCTGTGGCCCAGTCTCTGTTGCCCCTATCTCTCTTCTTCTAGTATTGATTCCTCTCTCCCTTCCCCAGCCACAAGCTTAGCCAAACAGAGCTCCTCCTTGGGTCATTTCTAAATGGTGCTGGTAGGGTAGAGCTTCTTTCTTTACAGATTGTTAAGCCACATGGGCATAAAACAAAGTTCAATTAAAATAAGAATATAGATTCATTAAGGAATTAGTAAATGAATGAATGGATTTTTTAAAGCAAAGTAAATATATCTAATTAGAAGAAAAACATAAATTTTGGATCCAGAAAAATCTCAGCTCTGAATCCCAGCCTCAATATCTGAGTCTTTGGGAAAGAAGTGTAACTACTGTTAGTTCTCTATCACCTCCTCATAAAGTTGTTGTTAGAAAAACCTAACACCAACCGGCCATATGGGCCTTTCCCCTTAACACATTGAACCAACAACAGTGACCCAAAGCCACTGCAGCATTTTTGACATTGGGATTATGGAAATTTGCATCTCACTGATCAATCTTCAACTAAATGACAAAGTTATGATTTGTGGATTTTTAAAGTATATGACTGAAAAGATACTTTTATCAAAGTTACCACATTTAAAATAAGCTTTCAGAAATATTTCCTTTTTTGAGTTAAAAAATTTTGCAAATTAATTTGCTAACCTAACGATCTCACAACAGCTCATTGAGTTTATATTTTGTTGAACACTTGGTTTCACTTTATATATGTCAGGTAAATAAATAAAATATGGCAAGAATTACTCTATACACCAACAGCAAAGAAATAAGTAAGAATTTTCTGTCAAATAAAAATTTTTAAATGTCCCTTTTAAAGTTTTGCTCCTTTCTTTTATGAATTTCAGGGCAATAGATGCAAATGAGAAAAATATTCCATTTGCTTTTGTCCTTTATTTTCATCAATATGTAAATTGGAAGATATTTAGAAATCCAATACAGAAAAGAAAGGAGATCAGAAGAAATAATACAAATGTCCTTCACCTAAAAGTTTGGTTAAATAATTTAAAATAAATCCATAAAATGGAACTGGGCAGTAGATAAAGAGATTACATGGATCTGATTTTACTGGCAAGGCAGTGTGTTACCACTGCAGGGGCAAAATAGCATCTGTAATATACACCCGGGGATGGAAAATTACAGATTCTGTGCTCTGCTTCATAGCCTCCTGTACTTCCTCTCTCTTACCCCTCAAGATCCTTTATTATTATTCCTTAGTTAATATTTAATGTCCCTGCCAGACTGTATGCTCGATGATAGCAGGAACCCTGTCTTTAGCCCAGCACCTAGGGCACATCATGTGTGGTCAACAGACCTGCTG